TTGCCTCAAATCACAATTTCATCATCCACAGTTGTGTAAGGGTCTATTTTAGTAAGAAACAGAGGGAAAGGGAAGCAGAGATATACCCTTGCATTATCATTTCTAACTACCTTAATCTCACTCCCCTTTCTTGTAGAAAGGAAACTAAGCTCCTGCTTCCTGGTGCCAGCATCTGCATATTTTGTCTGATCATCTGGACTGGGAAGAAGCAAGAAGCATTTATGTCCCATTCGTGAAAAAGTTTGGAGAATTCACTTACCTCTGAAGAAAAGTATTTCTAACTTTTAAATTTTTATTGTGAGATACCAGTTATACTGGGAATTTTTTTATTTTACAAATAAATAGTTCTCCCAAAATAGTAACTGAAAATGGACTTGTTGAAGTGTTATGGCTTGAGGGCTGGCTAAATAGCTCAGCAGATTAAAGTGCCTGCAAGCAGGCACAGAGGCCAGGAGTTCGATTCCTGGGCCTGCTGTGCCGGCCAGGCCCCCGGGGCACACTGAGATGGCAATTGAGACTGGACATGGTGGCACACACCTGTAATCCCAGCACTTGGGAGGCTGTAAGCAGGAGGATCACTGCGAGTCTGATCTGCACAGTGAGACCCTGTATACCCTGTCCTGAATACAAAAAAAAATTAAAAAATTTTTTTAAATGTTTTGGCTTGAAAAGTTGCATTTTACCTCCTTTTGGCTTAACAATTAAAAGCTAATTGAAGCTGATTGCTAACAAGTGGAGAGATTACAAAATTAAACATTGTAATCTAACTTTCTGGGGCAGGGAATTTTGAAATGGGAATTGTGCTTGTCATACATAAGAGGCTCTGAATCTGACATTATCAAGACTACATATAGAACAAAAATATAGAGTTGAAGATCTAGCTCAGTGTTAACAGTGGTTGTCTAATATACATGAGGTATGGGTTTCAAATTATAGAACCTTGGGGCTGGGGAGATAGCTCAGTGGCTTAAGCAACTGCCTGTCAAGTGTGAGGTCCTGAGTTTGATCTCAGGTACTGAACAACAACAACAAAAAGAATCAAATTCCAGAACATCAACTAATAACAGAAAAAAATGAAAAAAAATTATAAGAAGTATCTCAGGTAACTGGATTATAGTTTTGTGTATAATACCTTACATTTGCAGCATAATTAGAATATGTATAATGACCTCATACTATAATGTTCCTCATACACTTTAAAAACATGAATATAAAAATAAACCAACCACAGATAAAAAATATTGTAGTTCTATATACTTGACATAAAATATAACTGAATAATTTAATAACTAAATTAATAAATGAATTAATATTGCTATTAAATATATACTGTATTAAGTTGTGTGTAAGAAACTGAGCTGTGGAGTACCTAACAGAAGAATCATTATTATAGAAGGGTATGGAGTTGCATAGAAACAATAATGCGCGACTTAATAATTATATTACAAATTCATAAAAATCAGGATGATGAATCAATAGGATATTTAGAAATACAAAACAGTAGTGATTAAAATATAATGGACCAGTGAGATAGCTCAGCAGTCTAAAGCACCTACTTAAGCAAGCTTAGTTAGGCACAGGGGACTGCAGTTTGATCCCCAGCACCACATGCCTCACCAGCCCGGGCCTCAGGGCAGGCTAAGCCAGCCCCCCAAATACATATTGATTATTTCTTTTTTCTTTTTTGGTGGAACCAGGGATTTAACTCAGGCCCTTGCACTTGCCAGGCAAGAGTTTATTCTACTGAGCTATTTCCCCGGCCCCTCGTTGATTACTTCTTATAGGTCAGTTTTAGGAATGTTTTATTTTGGAAATGTATAGTCACTGTGGAATCAAGTAAGGTAATTCAAATCATTTTTATAAAATGGGATATATCAGATTGAGGTAAAGACCAGCTATTCCAATTTTCTGTAGGGTAAACTGAAGGAGTAAATAAGGATCAAAGTGTACAACAGACGTGCAATGGGAATAAACTGTTCAAAAGTAAAGAAGAGCTAGGGTGGGGGAAGGGGAAAAGGAAGAAAGGGAAAAAGAAGAAAACAAGAAAAGAATAAAATGGAAAAAAGTTTTACAAATAGAAAGGAGAAGAGGAGATGAAGGGAGGAGAGGGGATTACGAAAAAAGAGGAATGAAAATATAGCATGCACCAGTACAAAGTCCCTATAATGAATATGATTGTTATGTACATCTAAAATGTACCAATAGGGGCCGGGGAGATGGCTCAGTGGAATAATTGCTTCCCTGGCAAGCGCAAGGGCCTGAGTTCAATCCCCAGTTCTGCAATAAATAAATAAATAAATAAATAAATTTTAAAAAATAAAATAAAATGTACCAATAAATTTAATTTTAAAAATGGGATGATTTCTTCCAGTGTTTAGGCCTATGGTGCCAAAATGCAAGATACATAAGTCTCTTGGAAAGCTGTCCAGACAGTAATTTCTGATTGAGATGTTAGGAACAGTGCGTTGGCACTGGGAAGGATGCCCATGTCAGAATTTAACATTTTTCCTTGGTGATTATGATGCAGGTAGGGGTCTATGATCTCTTAAACACTATTATGTAAAAGGTTTTAAAGGTGTTTGGATTTAGAGACTTTGCTATGTACCTTTGGCAGTTAAATATAATACTTTCCACATAATTAGCTGCTTTCAGGCTCCAAGTCAAGTATTCTATTAGGTACAGTATTGTGCAGGGCTTGTAACTCTATTATAGTCAAAATAATATTTTAATAGCTACTGTGTCAGACACCAGGGTAGAAATTCAGCTTCTGGATGATTAAGATAAAATCCCTCTCTGGGTAAGGATACACCTTTCTTCTTTCTTTCTTTCTTTCTTTCTTTCTTTCTTTCTTTCTTTCTTTCTT